TCTAAAATAAAGTAGCTTATGGCAATATACTACGCACATGACTTGTGGTATGCGCTAGTCTATCTTTTGCAAAGTCGTGCTTTCTTTGCATGCTTACGAAAGAAAATATTTATTTAAACCCCCAACCGCAATGAAAAGGAAAAAACAAAGAACAATTCTCACTGATGCTTCAAACCGAGTCCATTTTCGAGGTAGATCGATAGTTTCTTGTGCTCATAAAATATAGGAAGTCCTTTATCTTTGGCAAGTGTCATGCCCTGCTATTTCTAATGCTTATGCATAGATGAAGTTGCCGAGCCGGTCCGAAATTGCTTTTGTAATGCATTTGAATAAAGAAGAATGAGATAGGCTCGAAAGTGATGATGCACGGCTTTTGCTCTTGCTTCCGGTTCAACTACTTCCGAAGCTTCTCTCTAGTTTCTTCACTTTTAAGTTAGGTTGACAATTAAGCGGGTATAATTAATAGCCAGACTAATCATATCGCATCAAGCAAGTTTCAATATGACCCAAAAAAAGGGGGGAAATTCAAATGTGACTCTCTATGGAAATACATGTTCGAGCACTTTGTTTCGTCTCCGTGACTGATTCCATCTTCCACGAGACCCTCGAAGCATTTGTCTAAATAATGTCTAGTGGCAATTTGCTTGAGAGAGAGCATCGTGGGGATTTTCCATTGGCCCCTCACGCATGCGGAATTGCTTCGTTGGTCGTCTTAATTCTTCGAGACTTAGCTACCCTCAAAAACATTTTCTTAAATAGAGGTTTAGTGGGGACGTCATCACGGATTGCAGAGCGAATTAAATGATACACCTCCTACTTAGATAATCGTACGCACACCAACTAAGATCTACATTTATTTGTGAGCTAAATTTGTTGTGCGAACCGAGTCTAACAACATAATGTTAAGGTCATTTCTATGACGAATCGCGCCATAGTCCGATTTCAAGAATGTGAATCTTAGGGAAGCATTTTCATTGAGCAAAATAAGTACCATGAATGGAGTTACCTTCTCTAATGGATTGCAAAGGCTAGGAGTAGCATTTTCCCCTCTTTGGCGTGCCTTGAGCTGTATACACAACACCACTTTTTCTCAAGTCCGTGAACTTAGTTTCACAGATAATTTTCCATTTTATAACTAAGGTGCTTGCATGAAAACCATTACGTTACTGTCAACCTGGTTTTTTGTTCCCGAATCGTTTTGGACGAAACCCGTTTGAGCGCAATTTCATTTTTCTATTTCCGGGACAAGTTTGCTTCCAAAAGCGATTCAAAAATCGAAATGAGAACAAAAAAAAAAAGTTGGTTTTCATTTCTAGAACAAAAGTGAGAACCATTTACGAGGAATTCATTTTCTTCAACACACATATTCATATGGAAGTTACGATCTTTGAGGTGAGAAAAAAAGCAAAATTTCAAAATTTAACGAATAGTTTAGAATCGTGCTACCTGCATTTCGTTGAAATTTAAATTTTTTAGGTACCGAAAAAAATAAAAAAATAAATATAAATATAAATAAAAAATTTCAAAATTTCACAAAACTACTTATAAAACCATATGGCCACCTTTGACCAAAATTTAATTTTTTTAGTTGCCAAAAATAATAAAAAAATTCTAAAATTTAAAAACTTCACAGAATATCTTAGATCATACCGGCCACCCATTTGAAAAATTTTTATTTTTTAAAAAAAAAAAAAAAAAAAAAAAAATAAAAAATTTCAAAACTTGACGAATGGCTTAGAATACTTGTGGCCATTCACTTTGAGTGAAATTTAAATTTTTTAGTTACAGAAAAAAATAAAAAAATACAAAATTTTAAAACTTCACAGAATAGCCTTAAAATCTGCCAGTGCACTTTGAGTGAAATTTAAATTTTTTTATATGCCAAAAAAAATAAAAATAAGCAAAAAAGTAAAAATTTCAAAACTTTACGAATGGCTTAAAATACACTGGCCACCCACTTTGAGCGAAATTTTATTTTTTTAGTTGCGAAAAAAATAAAAAAAAAATTTCAAAACTTCACAAAATGGCTTAGAATACACTGTGGCCATCCACTTTAAACGAAATTTTAATTTTTAGGTGCCGAAAAAAAAAAAAAAAAAAACTTCACATAATTGCTTAGAATACTGTGGCCATCCACTTTGAGTGAAATTTAATTTTTTTAGGTATCGAAAAAAAAATAAAAATAAGCAAAAAGAAAATTTTTCAAAACTTCACGCAGTGGCTTAGAATACACGTGGCCATCCACTTTGAGTGAAATTTAATTTTCTTTAGGAACCAAAAAAAAATAAAATAAAAATAAAAATACCATTTGGGCATCTAAAAAAATTAAATTTTACTCAAAGTGGGTGGCTAGAGGTATTGTAAGTCATTCATGTGAAGTTTTGAAATTTTGATTTTTATGTTTTTTTTTCACCTAAAAAATTTAAATTTCACTCAAAGTGGATGGCACATGTATTCTAAGTCATTACTGTGAAGTTTTGAAATTTTGATTTTTTGCTTTTTGCACCTCCAAAAATTAAAATTTCACTCAAAGTGGGTGGCCACAGATATTCTAAGCCATTATGTGAAGTTTTGAAATTTTTAATTTTTTTGGGTATCTCAAAAAAATTAAAATTTACTCAAAAAGTGGGTGGCAGTATTCTAAGCCATTTTGTGAAATTTTGAAATTTTTTTTTTATTTTTTGGGCACCTCAAAAATTTAAATTTTACTCAAAGTGGGTGGCTACAAGTATTCTAAGTAATTCTGTGAAGTTTTGAAATTTTTGATTTCTTGATTTTTTTAAAATTCAACAAATTTCCTATTTTCCCAAATCTGAAATTTTTTTTTATTTTCTTGACATTTTGATGATTTTTTCTGGAATTTTTCAATTTTTTGGGATTTTCTGATTTTTTTTGAGATTTTTATGAATTTTTCGGATTTTTTAATTATTTTTATTCCATTTCTAAAAAATGGATTTATGTTCCTGAAATAGAATTTTCTGTTGTTTATCAAACGGGTTTATGTTTCGAAATAGAAATTTTGTCTTTGTTATCAAACGGGTTTTACATTTCTAGAAATAGAAATTTTGGTCGTTATCAAGCGGGTTTTTCTCGAAACTCATCCAGGAGCCAGAAATAGAAAAATCTATTTCGGTTGAACTCATTCCGAACAGAATGGTTATCATGCACACCCTAAGTGTATCAATAATTTTATTAAAAGAATACCACCAAGATGACTGCTTAGTGAAATTGATGGCATCTTTCCACCTTTAATCAGGCGATAATGATACAAATAGTCTCTGAATTTTGGCCCAATGTGCAATATGATTAAAAAGCAAAATATATTTTAAATATACCCACGACATCATACGGGGATAATTAGTGAGAAAGGAAATTACAGCCCATTAAATAATTGATCTACTTATCGTGCTTCCATGATAGTTACATTTTCAATTATGTAAAATAAAAGGTACAAGTTGATTAGATACTATGGAGAAATCATGAATCACCACCAAGCTTTAAAAATGCACGAGCCATAGAAGGAAAACTTTTTTGGGACCAATTTTCTTTCTAACAATTTCGAATTATAATTAGGGACATGAAATAGTACATCCATATCACGAAAAATCGCGAATTTCTATCTCGTCATAGTGGATTAATGTGGTCTTGAATTTAAATAAAAACAATCGTACCGATAATTGGGAGTCATCTTTCGAATTCCCTTTCTATGTATGGTTTCTTCTTTCTAGATGTATTATTCACGATACAACCTGTAGCCCTAATCAATACTTAATTACGAAACAACATGTTTACTATCCTCATCGTGTCCAAGGCACGGCCTCAACACTAGTTATTATAATTAGTGGGATGGACAAGCATTGGTTATGTGTGGGATAATCGTTGACAGGAGCATTACCTAGTCAAATTTCTCTTTTTAAGTCAAACAACACAACAACCCAAATGTTGACTAAATCTTGGATCTATATTAATTTTATATTTAAATATTCTAATCTATAAACTTTTCTTGTAGGTCATCACGAGTCTCTTTCCTATTATTTTTTTCATCTAAATTATTTTCTTCTGGTGTGCATTTTTGAAAGTGACCTCTCCGGGTTCACGCGAGAAAGGAAAAGTGTCCTTTTGCCCAAAAGAAAAACTGTGCCTATTGCCTAACTAAAGAGGCAAAGACCAAGAGGAATCCTAACGGGGCTTGAAGTCCACCTTCGAATTTACGAAATCAAATGAATAATAAAATGAAAAATAAAAAAAAAAACAAAAAACAAATACTTACGAGGATTTTTATCCTAAGTTTCCCTTTTTCGAGGAAGGTGGTGATTTGGTGTTAATCACATGGAGTTGTCTATTTCGAATGTGTTAAAAATCACGGGGTTCACGAGGTTAACATCCGTGGAATTAATGTGAAAGATGCTCTGCTAAGAGATAAGCCAATATTATAAATGAGAAGTTGGCTACGAGACAAGTCATAAGATCCGACCCAATTCGCTCGGATCGAGCCACAAAAATAAGGGTGAGCGATTTCGGGTTTCGAGTAGGTTCGCTTGGAACCGAAACCTATCCTCAGGTACAGGTTCCTCAAAATGAGGAACCGAAACTTACTTCGTCGGAATCACGGATTCCAGGTCGGTTTTAGGTTCTAACGGGTTCTTTTTTATTTTATTTTTAGTTAATCAAAACGAAAATGAACATTCATAAAAAGAATACAAAGACAAATTATAGAAAAGTCACATTTTTTCTTAAAAGAAAGGGATAGCACAATAAATAGTAATTATTGGGATGCAATACATATGACTTTAAATTCCAAGGTAAGATGCCACATTTTTCTCAATACATATCACCTTTCTCTCCATTGAAAGAAGCCCCATCACGATGCAGTATCCTTACTCTGTTCCAATTGAAAAAATGCCAGCAAAGCACAATCGCTCGTATGACGGTTCCAATTTGAATAAACTATGGCAAAGAATCGTTTCGAGACAGTTGAATCGTTAATAGATTTTCAATACCGGGGTTTTCTTCACTTTATTACTCAATATTCTGTGAAAGCTACTTCCTTGTCCATAAACTTTGATGAACCACGACGAGTAATTTTCCTGTAAACGCAATTCCTCACTGTATTGCACCATCCCCCACCCTACAACAATGTAAAACAACATCAAATGGCTTATAGAAAATGCGGACGACGAAAAAGAATCAAGAATTGGAGTGCCATGAAGAAGCGAGCAAGAAAACCATGCGATGAGAAGAAATAACATAAGTTTGCAAAATTAACTAGCTTAAGTATGCTCTTTTAAATCATATAACATAAAGTACATTCAACAAACCTCTAAATGGACCACCCAACTCTTTGCACCGATCCAGAGCCATTGTGAATATGATAACCGGGCAATGTACCATCTAAACAGGTGAACATTGTAGAACAAGATTAAATGAGAACCTCAAACATCAATTTTTCAGCTTGAACATTCTCAAAAAAACACCCAAAAAAAAAAAAAAACCTTGTCATTCTACCGTGAGCTCAAACGAAACGAGCAAAACAACCAATGGCACGAGGATGTTAGGAACGAAGCAGTGGATCAACCAAAAGAAAATCTCCAAGAAATAAGACGCAGGCCGTCTTAGTTACGTGCACAATAATCAATATCTGGAAAACGAGAGCAAAATTCTAACCAGGGACACAAAATAACGAGCAATAAACAAGAAAGACCAAAATCTTGTAAATCCATAAGTTGCCTACGAATGAAACGAACCCGGACACTACTACATACGAGAAACACCAACCTTCTTAACTATGGATCCCGCACCACTTACGAGCGAGAAAGTCATTAAAAAAATGGGGGCTTTAAGAAAAAAGTCGAAAAGTACCAACTCCTTTGGCGGCACACCCTCAATGAGAGTGAGGCCAACCATGAGCTCACTCATGGTTGTTTCCCCCTTTAAGCGGCAAACAAAAAGAGCAAATCTCGAAGGCCCTTAAGATACGATCGCAATCGACAATTAACCAATCAGTTAACTCCCCCCCCTTCCCTCTCCTCACATTCAATCGGGGACGGATCCACCGCATTTTCCCTCTCCTCACATTCACTAAGCGATGAATCCAGATGAATGTGCACGCAAGAGCATGATTTCACGCAACTCATGCACGATCGTCGTGACTTAATTCAATCGATCGATGCAAAAGATGAACGAAGCAACGGTGGGAATTCAAAGAGAGAAGGCGTGAATGGCGGGGTTGTTCGAAGGCGTTACGTACCGGAGCGACGGAGCTTGAGAGGAGGAAGACGGCGGCGAGCACGAATAATCGCAGCGAATCCGCGTGGGGATCACGAGACTGTGGCGAAGAAGGCGGAGCGAGGCGGAAGCGGGAGAGAACCGCGAAAGCGGGAGCGAGAGCAAGGCGAAAGCAAGAAGCGGGAGCGAGGAGCGAGCGAAGCGGGAGCGAGGCGAGAAGCGGGAGCGAGGCGGAAGTGGAAGCGGAGCGACCGAGCGAGAGCAAGGCAAAGCGAAAGCGGGAGCGAGGCGGAAGTGGAAGCGGGAGGGACAAGATGGAGAGACAAGATGAATTAGGGTTTCTAAATACCAAATGTGTAGTTTATGTTTTAATTTTTAGGGATCGATTCCCAGTCCCGGTTCTTGGTTCGGTTGGTTCAGGTTCCTATAGGCAAGGAACAGGCTGAAGCAGTATCCTAAAAATGGGGGCAGAACCGGACCCTCTGTCCATGGAACTTGGAACCGAACCGGACCCACCGGGTCCGGTTCTCCGGTTCCCGGTTCTACCCTGGAACCGCGCTCACCCCTAACAAAAAGAGTACTAGACAAGTGTACCCTCAAAGTGAGAATCCATTGGGGATGGGTCGTGTGCGGATATGTCGAAATGGGTCGTTAACGTATTTCTTAATCCACATTTAATGGACTGAGTTATTATATGAATTAATTATATCCAGTAAATGGATTATAAATGGATTTAGAATGGTAAAACCCAAAATAATATAGATATTGAATAGGTTCATAACTTACTTAGATCCAATCCACTTCTATGACTCTTTTTTCACTCTCTCTCGCCGATCTCATGCCTACTTACTCCGTGCTCTAACCTTAGTTGGGTTCGAGTTTTCCTAGGTTGGGTTAAGTATGTAAATGTTTTAATAATTTGGGTCGAGTTGGGTATAGGTCACTAGATTTGTATTGCATAGGAATTGATCAAAACAGGTTAAATTAGTCAATTTGAATAGGATCATTTTCGATCAGACCCAAACTGGACCCGACGCACCCGTTTGACGGATCCAGTTGCACGTACGAATAATGACAAATTTTCTCGCTTCGGATGCAGGACTTGAGAAGTCACGCAAATAAGGCGATTGGAAGGTTGCGTGTTACCCTGTATAAAGGTTTACAAAACATTTCCCTGTTTTCCTCCGGAAACTAGCTACTCAACTTTCGTGGTGGCACTGTGGATATATTTGATTGCTTGTTGCCTTAACGTACAAGCACAGCTGCCAATCGCAAGTTGTGCATATTGCTTGAGTCCATTACTTTCTCGGCCTTCTCGGCAACAGGAAGAGCCTCTCCTTCTGATCCCTCGAGAACTCGAATGTCGAATGGAGGCGCGACATAGAAACATGGGCCCGTCCGGTTCTCCAGCCTATGTCTATATGCGAAGGAGGAGTAGAAATTCACCATACCTAATCGAATTTGCAAATCAGTAGGTGCGCGTAAAGAATTCGAGTTCGGGTTAACAGAGGCAAAATAGCTAAAACGACCAAAGACTTCATCAACCATACATGCCCGTCTTGTGCAGCCATACTGGCGTTAGCTGTTCATATGGCATGCTTGAACCAAAGCAGTTATCATATGAGAGAATATTATTTATCATGGGAGGTATTCGAGCCTATTTTTATTGCATCGCATCTGCTTTCCGATAGCGTCATTGTTCTCCCCTTTTGCAGCTTGAATTCAAATTCTTGCTTGCTTTAAGTATCTATGTAAGATGAGGAAGTCAGAATTGCTGTCACGTTTATCGTGTTTCTGCAATGCGAGTACACCGAACTTAAGAAATGAACTTGAAAAATGAAAGTACACTACAAGTGCATAACCCTTCTTTTGGGCTACTCTACTTAATTAGATCCTCCCATTTGCAGTACTGTCCACCGGCCAACGCGCGGTAAAACCGATCCCTGCAATAGACCGGCCTACCGTCAGCAGCCTCGGCCGCAGCTGCTGCTAGATCATCGTCAGCCTTCACATCCAAGGGCAATCTTAGTAATTCCTCCTTGCTGCAATAAACAATTGGGGTTGTGTGAGAACTTCAAGAGATGAAAGAGTAAGATGAGAAGAAAATGAAGAATTGATAGGAGATGACTCCTTGTGTGTACTTGATGTTGAACTTTGAATTCATCTTTGAAGCAGGAACCACAGCTGATGGGCTCTCCTTCGGTGCGAATGTGCTTTTGAAGAAGTCCTCGACCGGAGTGGCGAAGATGAATAACATCACTGATGATACTAGCAACACCCCCGTTCCGACTAATGTTTGCTTCAGCAATTTGACGACCGGTTTAACCTGGAGGAACAAAATCATTCATGAATGTATGATAAAGCGACTAATAAGAGTACCGATCGTGGTTTAACCTGGAGTTTTGACCATGTAATGATAAGAGTAGGAAGTAACATGTACAAGTAATGATCCCAGTCCTTTGAATACACCAGACTCTCTCACCATGGAAAATCAAACTATAAATGAAGAACTGTATATTAAAAATTATGGTCTGTTATACCTTGTATGATCCCAGAAGCCTGTCACGAGCCAGGACCTTTAAAAAGAAGATTACAGAAATTAGCATAGATAGCACGAGCCTGTACTACATTTTCTGCTTTAAAATTTCATATACTTGGCTGTGCTCATTCACGTAGTCATCTACAGTTCGCGAGCACAATCACGACCAAAGAATACAGCTTTAGCGCTGAAAAGCACAGGACAAGCGAATCTCATGTCGAAATTTGTATAGCTGGTGGTAACCTCTTCAAATGCTAAGACAAAAGGTGTCCCTTGATTTGTTGAAATCAAACTTACGAGTCTTGTACTTTAGTTAGGACATTTGGCTAATCAAACATCCTGACGCCAGAATTCTGTTCACAAGGGGACATGAAAGATTCACTCGCGTTCTGGGCCAATTTAATTCCTTTACTTTGGCTTTACCGTTCATTTTAGAGCTGTTAAACCTTATAACACACAACAGAAGAAGTTCATAATTTGCTTATAACTGATCTGCAAAAACGCACGGTAATTCTATTAGTCTACTCACTCAACACATCATTCTAATATCTGCAATTTGGTAAGCTTCCATCTCCTTTTCTTTAGTTATCTACCCGGCTTTCAAATTAGAGGCAGCCCCGAGGATCTATCTGTCGAGGGCTACAATCTAATCGAAGTGTTCTGAAAATTAGCTTCCGGTATCTCCCTGAGTCCACCATTTTCTTCTGCAAAATTACATCATGAGGAAATACGCATGGTAGTCGAAGGCACTAACCTCGGGCGGTTTCACCCACATTTGCCCATCGTACCATCCACTCTCTTCGTATGGTATCACTGCTGACAAAAGCCTATCGCCAACATAACTCCATCCCTGCAGCAGAAGATGGCATTAACAACTTCAAGGCCCTTTGAGTTCCTTCGATTTGCAACTACTGACTCCAATCTACAATCTCTAAAATTGTTGCCAGGTAATGCATAGAAAGCTTCATCTGCTAATATACTTCAATCGGGCCGCATGGGAATTTTGTCAAGTCTTTTTTTCTCAAATTATCAGTGTGAAAGGATAAGAAAAGGGTTCAAAAGAGAGACAAATATCCATGTATTATCATTCAAAACGCACCTAGAACATCACACAGGGATGTTTAAAATTTGCTCATCTTCTGAGCAGTTCCACTAAGTTGTTTATCAGCTAGCTGAAGCTCCAAGAATACCAAATCATAACAGAAGTAACCGGAAAAACGTACCAAATAAATTCTTAAGATAATCAACGACACAAGGAAAAGAGTTCCTGTCCCCGCTGCAAGCACGAATCGTAAAGGTTCCTGCCAGAGGTCGAGATGAATGCCTCAGTACAAAGTCCTAAATTTAGAATTTGTAAATATGTAATGCAACAACGATGCTCACTCCATCATCAGATTGACTTTCTAATGGTAAACTGGAGGCATAGAAACAAAAGACACGAAAATGGAATGAACTGCAAAGGGACTTCAGCGATATGTTACCCTCGCAGGATTGAAGCTTGCAGCTGCAATCGGCACTCCGAGAACTGTGAAAGTCACAAACCAGAGACCCCCGAGCCTGAGGAAAAGTTCTCCTGGTCCCAGGTCACCCCACGAGTACAACGGTCCATCCTTCAGCGATGAGTATTCATTCACCTGATATTCAAAATCGATGTGATGACGACCTCCTACAAATTTTCATTCCACTTCGACATAATCGAGTGACAGAAGGTGCCTTTCGTAACTTTTTTTATGCTGTAACACATCCATGCCACTGGAACAGAGAATTATGTTTCTAGTACACGAGCAACCAGTAAATAACCAAATCCGATTAATCGAACCTAGTTCTTTTATCCTGTCCAAGTTAGAAGGGTTCATGTCAAAACACTAAAATCTTGTTGATTCATGCTATTCTCGTATTCGCATCTAAGCAAGCCTTTCTCAGGGCAAACTTCTTTGAACAAGCACAGCAGATCTGCACAATCAAACCACCACCACTTCAACTAGTAAGCAAATGCCATATGTATCATATTGCTACAACAGTCTCGACTATCTTCATATCATAACGCTCTTGCTGCATAAATCGGAACAATACTTGCTAAGATTTAAAACTCTTAAGTAACAAGGCGCAAGGTTCTCTAATAGCTTGAACTTTTACAGCAAAATTGATTGCTCCCATTACTTTCACTGGTACGAGAGCTAGGAAGTCTCGTGTTTGATTTGTCATATTTCTGCTGGTTAAACACTCGGTTTAACAATATATTTCCCAGCTTTTAACAAGCTAATCAAGTATCAAATAATCTAAACTCACCGGCCTTTGCTCGAATGGGACCTCGATCTCGAGCCCAGGTTCCCAGCTCCTCCCCGGCGGAACGCTGCCTCCGCCGCTGCCACCGTTTGTCTCGTCCTTCAAGGCCTTGAGAGAGATTTCTCCAAGCAGCCTCTTGGTTCTGCTAGGCTTATTAATGACCCACCAAGAACCATAGCTTCCACTGGCGAATTGAACTTGTCTTGCACAAGAAGGGGTCAGATTGAGAGAGCAGTGCACATACAGCCTCAGCATTTAGCTCCAGAACAGAAGCTGTTCAACTTCAAATCCTCAAGAGAGAATATATTTTTTTGGTTTTGGTTTTTTCAGTTCATGAGGATCCTCTCTGGTTCAGATATTGTCGGAATGGAGAGGAACTCGAGTGTAAGAATCAAATGTATGGCTACAGAAAAGTTCCAATTTCAATGGGGCCATGCATTATTTACGTGGACGAAAACAACGCAGACAAACTGATCTTGTTGCTTCTTGGGCCCATTTGGTAGCGATGGTTAGGTAATCTAACTATCTATCTAATTTTCTTTTATTGAGAAAATGTGATGTTTTTTTTTTTTTCGAAATATAATTTCACTCATTTATCATAGTAAAATATGAGAGGAAATGTTTTTTGATCGGAAAAAGATACCTTCATTGCTAGCGTAAAGTTTGCGATAAAGACATAGAAGACTCGGAACAAAGTAAATTCCAAAGAGGTTCGGGGGGGATTGGTAAGCCAATCACGGGACAAGCATTTGATCCGTTGGAAGAAAAATACTTGAAAAATCTAAAATGTAGTCTATCAAAAAAAAGGAGGAAAATAACTATTTTTTTTCATAACGATGATCCTATTTTTTTGAACTAAACTTTGACACGATGACGTGCCTAATTTTTTTCTTTATTTTCTTTATTAGACTAATTTTTAGAATTCAATTTACTCTTCTTTGTTTTCTTAATAATAAAGTAGCCACATAAAAAAACACGAAAGTTGCACTTGATTGGGCCAAATCAATTAACCTAGGGACACTTGATCTCTGCACAGAAAGATATTGAGGACCCAATTGCAAAAATTGCACAAGTTAGGGGACTAAATTTGGACTTATCCAACTGATAAATTAAAGCATCTTATCCTAGAAAAAGTGGATGACTTAATGAAGTCCACTTTGCCACAACATCAAGATGAAGAACTCTAAAGATCAAGAGGGTGGTATTGAATCTTGTAATAATTAACGGTCAAACTCATTTTCCAAGTACCCATCGATATGATTTGTGCTTTTAATGTCATCTTGGTAGAAGAAGCATTACCTAATTTGACGTGAAACGAGGGTTCATGTAGCACAATGTTTTACATGATGAAAACTTAGGGCGAGCATGGTCTGGTTCTGAAGTTGGAAACGGGAACCTTCCTCCACTTGTTACATTTTCAGATTAAATACCCATAAAGTTTTATTAAAAATTTCTAAACCGCCAGAAAAAAAATGAAGAAATAGAGGTAATAGTAATCAATTCACGCGGATTTGAAGATTCAAAGTAAGTCATTTGGCCGGAAAAAGAAAAGAAAATACAGCCTTTACTGAAAAGCTGGAAAAAGAAAAAAGTGAAAAAGAAAATGACGTATGGGTGTGATTGGGGGCCCTTTTTTTTCATTTGGAGATGTTAACTTTATTTATTTAAACAATATTTTCTTAAAAGAGTACCTTGACATATTTAGAGTTGGTTCAAAAATTCGGCTCGATTCTTGGATAGAACCGGCAAGTTGAAGGCTCGGTCAGGGACCGAACAGAACTTGATTGTTTCTCCAGGTTTTCAACCTGTGAACCTATCCAGTTCTCTTGGGAATTGGCTTGAAACTGATCATCAAGGCAAGGCCGACTCCAGCAGTTTCCAAGTTGAAAGTTGAAACTGGACCGACGCTTATCGCTAGAGAGAGCCACCTTTTAAATATGTTTGGGACAGAGTGTTATTCGTAAGAGACACCTCTTTAACTTGCCAGAATCTGTTTTATGTATTGCTCTAGTTGTCACAAACAGTACAGGAGTAGTACATCAACTGAAAAGTACGGGGCTTGTATATCCCACCGGCCAATTACAATGGTCTTGGACCTTATGGACTGGTTCGACACAAACTATGACCTGGTGCTTCAAGTCCTACATTAATTTTGGGATAAATTGTTCAATGGTACATAAGTGCAACTCATGAGATGATTATCTTGACTACTCCTTTTGAAGGCTCGATCGACACGAGTCGACGAATCATTACGCCTTCTTAACTGTTGTAGCATTTCTATTACTTTCAAAAGCAGGGATGCCATATGCATATGCTGTCAAAGGCAATGCTAGAGACCAAAACATTAGTACCAAAATGTATTCATTGAATAATGTGATGATAACACATGCAAAGTAAATATTTAAAGCGACGGGCTTACTGGAACATGCAAAGTAAATATTTAAATTCATTTAGCGAAAACATTTAAAATATAATTTTTTATGGACCGGGAAGGTAAATATAGTCCGATACATAAAAGTTGATACATAAAATTTAGTCCGATACATTTTCCAAAATAATAGAAAATAGATATCAATAGAGGTAGCCGAAAGCATCTAACAACTATTAGCAGCGATTCTTTGTAATGGTCGGCAAGAAAAAGATGATAAAGGCTCAAATGTGAAGACATCTTTCGACACCACCTTCTCTTTTCCACCTATTTGTTCACAATAGAAGACAATAGACTATGCATCTCCTTTATTAACATAATGTTTAAACGAATGATTGTCCGCTTGATCTTTAAGTTAATATTATAGCATATTCCAATCAAATCCTAATACAACTTTCATCTTTTATTTTGATTGTTATTTTTGCAATGCAATCGTCTCTCTTGTGATAATATGCTCATGCTTTTGGAGTTGGCATTTTAGCAGAAGGTTGTACACCCATCTTATGGAAAGTTATGCAGCACGTGACTTATCTATGGGAATGCCTAATATATTAATCGCGGGATAAGAAAACGTCACATAATTACCATGAGATTATCTCGTACGGACTTTTTTGGAACACTTTGTAAAGGCGTTTGGCATACTTCACAGCACAATCACATCACAACACGGTTATAGAAACAGGACCATACCGGATCGATACTGCGAATCTACAGCTTCAATATCCTAATTCACAACAAGACATGGGTCGTTCCATTTGCATGTCTCTTATGATTATCAATTTTTTTGGGGGATATATATGCATTGAACATGGACTGACTTTCCCGTGCCGAACCAACATCACTTTTCAAATTTAGTACCGCTTTGACCATCCATGTCAAAAATAAGTGATATGCCGGACGCTTTCCTATGACTTAAGTCTCGGGAGATTACATTTAGTGAGAATAAGAACTTTCGAGTCCGCTTTCCTAAGATAATGTTTTAGAGGTTCCTAATCAACCTCCTATAAATAATCCGTGAAATGTAAAAGTTGCAAAAATGAATTTATGAAATTGATTTATAAAATGCTTTAATTGGGTGATTAGGGTTACCTTATATGAATATACTCACTCATCGAAAATATACTAAATGAATTTATGAACGAGTTAATGAAATTAATTTTTTCTAGCTCCGGGCATTCCCTTTTATTTTCGTATAAAGTCTATGAGCCATTATTAGTCAACCAATTTCGGAAATTGTGGTTGCTATTGCAGTGAGATGGGGAGCTGCAAATTGGAGGGGGAGGTCGCGCCACGTGGCGCGCGATTCCTTCCACGCTCTCCTGTGCGCAACTCTCGTGGCTCCACGTGCCAAGACGCACCTGAGCACACGTGTCCCACGTGATCACTTCAATTGTTCGTGTCCAAGTTCTATGTATATGACAATGGACGGACAGGGATCATAAAAAATGGGTGATGTGATTTAGTCCATGAATTTTTTTTTATCTTTTTTATTTGATTTTTTATGTTATCATTTTGATGGAGAGTTGGTGCGTATGTTCCTTTCTTGTTAATTTTATCTGGAAAATTACCAAAACGGTTCTAAACCTATTATAATTGTGCAAATTCAGTTCTAAATCATTTTTTTGTGCCAATTCAGTCATAAACATTTTTTTTTGTGCCAATTCAGTCATAAACCTTTTGCATTTGTGCCAATTCAGTCCATCCGGGCAACGTTGGCGTGGTAATTTTTAATATTTTTTCTTTTTTCTTTTCTTTTCTTTTTCCTTTCCTTTTCTTTTTCCCTTTCTTTTTTTTTTCTTTTTCTCATCTTCATCTTCAACCTTTGGCCGGTTGCCGGCATCGACGATCGGCCAGAGGCGAGGGCCAGCGAGGTCAGCCCCGTTGGCGAGGTTCGACCTCGCCGTTGCTAGGCGAGGCCAACCTCCCTAGTTGTCGGCAAGGACGAGCCCTTGCCAGCAACGGCAAGGCCTCGCCGGGGGCGGACGAGGCCGACCTCACCGGGGGTGAGTGAGGCCGAACCTCGCCAGTTGTCGGCGAGGATGATGGTGAGGATCGTCCTCGTCGTTGGTGGGCGAGGCTGACCTCGGCGAGGTCGAACCTCAGCAGGGGCAAGCGAGGCTGACCCCTGGTGAGGTCGAACCTCAACAGGGGCAGGCGAGGCCAACCCCTGGCAAGGTCGAACCTCGCCGTCGTCGACCTCGCCGGCACTGGCGAGGTCAAGCCTCGCCAGCGGCCGGCGGGGCCGACCTCGCCGACCAAAGGTTAAAGATGAAGATGAGAAAAAAAAAAAAGAAAGGGAAAAAGAAAAGGAAAGGAAAAAGAAAAGAAAAAATAAAAAAAATCGAAAAAAAATAATATTAAAAAAATGCCACGTTAGCGTTGGCCGGCCGGCCAAAATTGGCCGGATGAATTGAATTAGCACAAATGCAAAATGTTTAGGACTGAATTGACATAAAAAAAGTTTAGAACTGAATTGACACAATTACAATAAGTTTAGGACTGTTTTGGCAATTTTCCCTAATTTTATTCTTTTTAGGGTTTGATATCCTTGATCAATATTAATTTTGCTAATGCCTTTTGTTTTTCGTCGGTTGGAAAACTAAAATTTGGAAGTTCGATTGTGTATTCGACCATTCGACAAAAGTCTCCTTGGGGATAATATGTCTTTGAATTTCGTCACACCCGAATTATGGAACGTTTGACGACGATTTGCTTTTCAAATAAACTTGAAAATGTTAATTACTCGGTACTCTTGACTCTCGAGCCTTAGGAAATAATTATATGTCATATCTTATAATTGACTCAACTAATTATAATCTACATAAGTTTTGTCGATCAAAAGAATCTTTCGTATGAAAAACAGGTTTTGTATTTAATCTAACAAACAAGAAATTAGTGTACTTTATTTTCAGAATTTTAGAATGCAATACCCTTGACGATGCTTATGACCAGCCAAAAAAAATAATCTAATATACCAACTTTTCTAGACATTTTTCAATCTTCTTTAATGAGATATTTATCATATAAGACCATCTTTTAATAATTTAACTCATGTATATGTATGATTTGTTATTTCTATCAAACCATTGGATCCTTTTAGAAGGAAAATCTGATCAATCGGTACCAAAGGCAATGCAAGCGCTATGAGCGCATTGAAGTAGAAAATGTGGGTATTTACCAAAACTATTATGATTAGTAGATAATATTCGCCGATGATTTCCTGAAAAATTTCTGTGAAAGCTTTCATAAATGCCAAATTTCTGTCGAGTAGACCTTGATGTCGTGGAAATTCTTAATTCATGAGTTGTAGGGAGGAGGGACTTCTATAGCCACAAATAGCGACTGCAGTAAGCATTGGATTCAAAGCTGGCATTAAAGCCTATAAACCGACTTGTGATATTCCCGACTATACGAAATCAAAGGTACCGACATCTTGGCAGCTTTCCGAGTCGCTCCTCGTAAGTAAGTTTGGCGGTTCTAAATCAAGCCTTTCCAGAATGATTTCAGGGTTTGAACGGGCAAGGGAACGTACCTGGTGGTTGAGAATTCATTCAAGAACCAGTAGTTTCTTCCATGAAATGAAAGTATTAAACCTGTTGGTCAAAGCTAGAGCACCGACAAAGCGGTGGTGCTTCATGGAGGAGCCGCCTTTGGAGACTAAGAAAAGGATCTAAAATTCAAAAAGGCAGCTTTCCTGAGAAATTGAGATAAATCTTTCTCAAGCTCTCTCACTTTTGTTAATAAAGTATAAGAGACGAAATGCATCGAGAGACATGCCCTAATAGTTTAGATTTTAAGATTAAATGGTTGCACGGACCGATTTGTTTGATTAAAAATCATTTTCGGGCTTCTCAACGTTTGGATGACGGAAAGCTAGTCGATCGACATGAAGCTTTTCTCATATACTGAAAATGACGGGCTTATATTGAAGAAAACGACTTCCCGTTCCGACAAAGAGAAAACTGTTTTCCCCGATTTATTGTCGACGTGTCCAAGTGAGGTCCCATGTATGTCGATTTCCTGTCTCTCATCAACCATCTCTTGACCATATTTCACTGATGCTTATGTTCTTCTACGTTCCCAATAACCCTCCATCAGAAATAATTTCTTACAAATACGATTTCATAATTAATTTTTAATTTTTTTCGTATACATGTTATTTTTAACGATACAAACTGCTTTAAGTGGATTGACGTATTATCTCAAGTACCATAAAAACAAAAAAAAGTTTCAACTTGTTTTAAGGCAAATAAACGTAAAAGAAAATGGAAATTGAACTCTCTGAAAGTATTTTCTTTCGGAATTCCAAGTGTTTCTCTTTTTTTTTTCCCCCTAATAAATACTCGGCCCACCGGCCGGAGACTCAGCCCCGCTGTCTGACTAGGCACGCGGCGGAGGAACCTTCTAGAGGGCGGTGGGCAAGGAACCTCATTGGACCGTGACCGCACCACTGGGTGACGCTATCGTTCTCCCCTTCAATTTCCCGGAAAATCACCTCGTGCTGAAGACACTATCACACTGTACGTAACGAAAATGAATAATATAAAAAAGTTTAATACAATGAAAAACTCCAAATCGTACGCAATAATAAATTTATCCATAATTAATTTTTAAAGTCCAAACCGATACACATATGAAAAATTTATTTTAAACCACCAAAATCCTAGACACGTATATTTATGATAAATTTATTTTTCGTTAGTTTTCATTAAATTGAATTAATACTGCGAAAAACCACAAACTGATATTCTCAAATTAGTATACCCGTCAATTGCCGTGTATCATTTAATTTATCAATTTGACGGTAAGATTTAACGGAAACTAATGGATGAGTAAAATTATCATAAATATACCGATTTGGAGTTTTTGTGGTAAAAAATAATAGTGCAGGGCAAATTATTCAGATGCGTGCTGGTTTGAAGATTTTTGTCGAATTAACTCTAATAAAGAAATACGAAAAAACAAACAAGAAATAAAATAAAATTAAAAAAAAAAACAAAATCGTCTTCTTAAATCACACCTGTCTCTCTCTCTCTCCTCTCTGTCCGTCTCTCGCCCACCATCGCCGCCGTCTCTCGCAGGTCTCTCAGGCGAGCAATTTAGGGTTTCGGCCGGTTTTGGGGAGGGGGAATCACCGTCGCTCGATCGCGCCGCCGGAGCGAGGATGGGCGGCGGCAACGGCCAGAAAGCCAAGATGGCCCGCGAGAAGAACCTGGAGAAGTCCAAAGCCACCAAAGGTATGTCCAGAAACCACACCACCCGTTTGTTCTCGTCGGCGATTAGTTCGATCCCCTCTTTTCGTTGTTGTCTCCGGGGGTTGCGAGTCGCGGTCGGGACGCGATCCAGCTCCCGAGGTCGAATTTCGGCCGGCGGCTCGGCCCGTGGGGTCCGATTTTTGTCGGGCGCGCTAGGTTTGGGCAAGCGACGGCGCGCCCGAAATTTAGTTCCTTTTCGGTGTGGGGATATTTTTGTTTGGCGATTCCGGTAGTTTTGTAGATTTTGTTGGGATGTTGATTCGTGGGTTTGATCGGTGTCTGTTGCGGTGTTGTTGTCGCAGGGAGCCAACTGGAGTCTAACAAGAAAGCTATGAATATCCAGGTACTCTTGAATTTTGTTCTGGTCCTTGTTTGCTTGCTTGTTTGTTTTGTTGTTTATTGATAATTTCTCTTCTGTGAAGGTTTGTTAATGATGTCCGAGGTCTTTTCCCTCGGTGTACTTGTGATGTTGGGGAGCTTGTTCGCGGAGGGTTATAAGTGAGTTTGAGATTTGCTGAACTAGCGAAGGCTGGGTTGTGTTGGTGTTGAATTAAAGATTGATTTTTTTCTTCTTTTTTAAAGTTAAATCATTGGCTGAGAGATTTGGGGCGATGGAAATCTTGTTGCGGACCTGTCTGATGCGTTAATGCGGTAAAATGACAGTAGATGGATCGTCTAGGCATGTGAACTGACAAGCCGTGTAGTTATCGGATCAAAAGCTGTTGAGTTTTGTGAAGTCATAGCTGACACATTTAGTTGAGCGACTGCCTTCTTCTATATATTTCATGGAATGAGAGTCGTGAGACATTTCTTTGCCTACTTTGAGCTGATTAGCCGTTCAAAGCGGGTTGTTTGTGGCCAAATTGGGAGATAGTATAGCCCTTTTCCGACTGGGGTAATGTGGTCTATCATGGTCATGGTGTCCCATTATGTGATGTCTATCATTCGTTACTGCTACCGTTACTTTTGGCTCACTATTTCATTCCTTCTTATTAACGAAGGACCACATGAACCCTGGCTGCTCTGAGATTATGTGATGATTGATGATTGCTATGGCTTTCACTTTAAAGAGTGGTTCATGGTGTGTATCACATGTACTGTATGGACATAACATGGCTATATTGGTCAGGCAAGTTTTAAAGATGAATTGTTGTGATAGTTATAATCCAGTTTATAATGCGATTGAAAGGACGATCAAAATGACATGACCTGTTTATTTTGTTGGGTGTAGCATGTCAGGACACGCTATCCGTACTTTATAGCCAGAGTCTCCTCCTCCTTATATAACCCATCATATATGCAACAGATCAGCTACTGTTAGGTGTTAGGGCCAGGGTCTCTCTATATTGCCTTGGTTATGGCCGTCGATGATTCTTTGGCATGATGGAAACTAAACTGAGTTGAATATGGTCATGACCTTAGAAGCTAATACAGGACTCATGGCCGTTCACTCTGTTTCTGCTGTGTTTTCTTCAGATGAGTTGGATATATAAGATATATGCATTTATATGTTCATCGCAATAGTCGCCTGTGCATCAGTCCAAATTTGTGGAGGGATCCCTTTATGGAACCGAGCTTTCGTGCATGTCACAGATTTTACTTCGCATTGATTATTTGTATGCTGTCTATTGCAGTGTAAGGTCTGTATGCAAACATTCATGTGCACCACATCAGAGGTGAAGTGCAGGGAACATGCTGAAGCCAAGCACCCAAAGAGTGACGTTTCTGCTTGTTTTCCGCATCTTAAAAAATGACGAGTCACATGTAAGTTTAAGCAGTTGGGGAAACGTTACACCGTTTATGTAAAGTGTCTACTATTGTGTTTAGGAATCCTTTTGGGACCGAAGCTGCTTGTTGGAAGTTGTGGATGTTCGTGTCAGTCAAAGTGAGGTCAGATGGAGGGGGAGGAGAGGTCGATTTCGTCCAGTTTAAGTGTTATCATTTTGTTGACTCTTATATCAGCACCTCACATGAGTAATTGGTTCTTTGAGCTATATACTGGGTTGGTTCTTTCTACTTTCTATGTTCTCGTGTTGGATGCTGTGTGTTGCGGTTCATCATTTCACTTGTCTTGACGAACACGTTCCTAACGTACAGTTCTTTGCAATTTGTTATGCTTCTGGATTGGGCGCGTTGCTCTGGGTGTCCAGTCATTGGTATAAATGTGGGATCATAGACAGACATTGTAATTACATGAAATCTAGTTACCACTGAAATATTTAGTCTCTTCATTCTCAAATAAACGAACTTGACCATACCTGTGTCACCTGTAGGGGTGTAAAAATGAACCGACCAAATCGAAATTTTGAGTGAATGTGGGTCGGGTCGTTTTTCAGTGTTTGGTATATGAGCAAAAGCAATTGTCTTCTAGCGGTTCGATTCGATTTTGGGTCATTAATACAAACCGACCTGAAGCACATTATCTAGCAAAAAACAGATGAGGCAACTGGAAAACAATCACAAACATATGTACAACAACTCGGCTGAATCCCATCATCTTGCTTGTCCAGTCATTTACGGTGGTCGTCATTGTTACGTCGTGGTGATTCGTCTCTCATTCTCTCTTAATCGACAACCAAAGCTTGTGTGTATTTCTAACAAAATCAAACGCGAGTTCAGGGGCTTTGGTTGTTAGGGGAGAGAGAGGGATATAGAGAGATGAACCTCCCAACAGAGAATACGACGATCAAGATTGTCGAGGATCGGACGAGCGAAATAAGAGAGTTTAGAGTTCCGGTTTGGTGTTGCTGTGTCTTGTTTTTCGGTCTGTCCTTTTCGGCCTGAAATATGAGCCAGGTCTGGTTTGGTTTGGTTTCGTTTGGTTTCGATTTGGGCGATTCTTCTTGACACCCCTTTTACTCTGGATGCCTCCCTGCAAAGGGAAGCTTCAAGGACAAATTGGCTGCCAAATCCTCGAAAACCTCGCCTGCCAGTTCGTTTAGCATGCTCGTTCGTGTATACTTTCATAAACAATTATCTATTTCCTCGCCAAAATTTAGAATTGCATTTAAATTTCGAAAAAATAAAATCAAAATTATACGTGAATTTACGTATCAACATTTGTATATTGTAATAGTTTAGGATGTTTCTGGCTAAAATAAAGAGAAAAAGTGTGTTTACCGTAAGATTTAGATTAAGAAAAAAGACAAAAGTATTTTTTTTTTTGTTTTCTTACCAAAATTTAAGAAATTATCCAAAATTCAAAGTACTATGAAATAATTATGTGAATTTACATGTTAATTTATATACTCATTTATATTATAAAATGGAAACTTTAGGTATTTATGATTAAAAAAAGGTTAGCATAACTGAATATATAGTAAGTGAAAGGTAAAAAAGTAAAAGTTTATCCAGATGCAAATTTTCTCTCAAGCTTGATCAATGGCGATGGAAAATAAGGGCAAAATTGTCCAAAAAGTCCTAAATCTATTGTACTTTTGTCAATTCAGTTTTAATCCTTTTAATTTTAATTGAATCCTAAACATTTTCACGTTTTGCCAATTGAGTCCATTAGGTCAATTTTAGGGAGAAATCGCCGACATGGATGTCGGTCGTCTTATATGGCATAGCCGGTGCTAATGTGAATAATTTTTTTGCTTTTTTTCTTTTCTTCTCTTTTCTTTTTTTTTCCCTTTTCCCTCTGCCGGGCCTTGTCAATGACCTCCACCGGCCTCAAGCGAGGGCCGCCCTCTTCGGTCTCGGGCAAGGGACACTTGGGCTTGAGCTAGCGAGGGACGGCAAGGACTGCCCTCACTTGGGCGAGGGTAGCCCTTGTCGGCCTAGCGAGGCCACCCTCGCTGGCCCCAAGCGAGGGTCACCCTCACTCGCCTAGGCTCAGGCGTCCCTTGCCCGAGGCCAGCTAGGGCGGCCCTCGCCTAAGGCCAACAACCTCCATCGGCCGTCGACGAGGCTCAGCGGAGGGAAAAAGAAAAGAAGGAAAAGAGAAGAAAAGAATAAAATTTAATAAAAAAATCAAAAAATTATTAAAAATTGTCCACGTTAGTACCAACCGTATCACATATGATGTTCGGTGTCCACGTCAGTGCCGACTGTGTCACGTATGATGTCTGGTGTCCACGTCAGCGATTTTAGGCCAAAATTGGCCGAATTGACTCAATTGGCAAAACGTGAAATATTTAGAACTGAATTTGCAAAATTGAACGATTTTAGACTAAATTGGAAAAAGTATAATATATTTAGGACTTTTTGGACAGTTTTTCCTAAAAACAAACCTAGTCCTCACATGCATAATTTTGTTCGTTCCTATGGGCGCTACATTTGCACACATGCTAGAATAAAGTATCTAAGATGGCAACCAAGGAAATTCTTCACTCAAAAATTCTCTAGCTCATATTTTCATCCTTCACGATATTAGTCCCGGTAGCCAACGCTTGAATTCTCACTATAAAATTTAACGTCCAACTTTCATGAATGAATATTCGTACTTACTACATTTAATTTGACGAAGGAAGATAATCCACGGTGCAAAACAAAAGCAGATTGAGGCTCTGTTAATTTCGTGGTAAATATTTTTTGGGAAATCATTGTCCTTATTTTACAGCATTTGGATCGTTTAGAAAAATAAGTCAACGGAAAATTTATGCTTAAATTCAAGAAAATAATTTTCTCTTTAAAAAATCGATAATCATTTTCCAAATATATGATTAGAAATCGGCGCTTGGCCCAAAACTTTGCGCTTGGGTACGAGAACTCCAATGTTCGTTCTTGGGCCATTCGTAGCAGACCGGAGCCTAGAGGTCAGGGCCAGGTCCATCGGGGTCCATTGAGGCCAAGCTTAGGTCCAAAGAGGCCGAGCCCAAAACCTCGGTGCCCAGGCTTGGGTCAACAAAGGTGGGGATCAAGACACCGGCGTCCATGCCTGGGATCTTCGTGCTCATGGTCCGGTTCTTGGCACCCAAGCCCAGGTCCATAGATGCCGGGCCTATTATTTCGGTACTATTGCTCGGCTCCCTAGCCCGAGTTCGTAGAGGCCGAGCTTGAGACCCCAATGCCTTATCCTTGGTCCATGGAGGTTGGCCCGAGGACTCCAAAACCCATGCCCAGATCCCCAGAGCCCGAGCCTAAGTTTGAGTCCATTGATGCCGAGCTTGGGACACTAGTGCCCATGTCCAGATCTCCTACGCTCAAGCATGTGTCCATCGAGGCCAAGGCCTAGGACCACGGTGTTCGTGCCCGGGTCCCCGATGCCTAGGCTCGGGTCCATCAAGATTGAAACTGTGACCCTGGTGCTTGTGCCTAGGTCCCCGACACCCAAGCTCGAGACCTCAATGCTTGTGCCTAGTTCCCTCGCGTCTAAGCCCGGGTCCATTAAGAACGGGCTTGGGATCTCAATATAGATGTTTTGCCCCAAGTATACAGATATAGATGTTGGAAAGCACGTATCTCAGCCCCAGGCCCAATGCAATGTCTCCTGTATCACGTGCAAGGACCATAGACAAACAGGACTTCCCTTCGTGGTCTTCAGAGGGCAATTCAAATCAAAGGTTCAGAGCTTTTCGTCTATAGAACGGATATCATGTTTGTCGTCAGTGTAGGCAGGATTTTTCATCGAAGTGAACTGGAACATTGCCGAAAAGATAAATTTCTACCGTGACACGACCAGACGAGTCTTGAAAAGCTAAAATAAAAGCTTGAGCTACTTCGATGATGAAAAACCACCCCGCAAACATTGCGGCGATGCCACTCCGGACCAATTTATGCTTTATGTTATTTGTACATATGTTATTGTTCCTATCAAAAGAGCCAACCACACCAATCCACAGGCGCACACATCAGTCTCCTTGGCTGTGAAAATGAACATTATTGCCTACCTGATGCAAATATACCATTGTGACTCCGGGTCCTCATCTGTTCATGTCTTGAAGATGTACACAACTTCCATGCTTGACTGAGTACTAGCCTAACACACAGTTCAATCGCTATATGTGCATATAATCCGTTGCCCTAACAAGAGCAACTTATAAGCTGCTCTGCTTCCACAACAATCTGCATGCTCAATCATTGCAACAGTTGAATCACACTGAACCCCATAAATATATCAAGTCAGTCGGGCATAGATTCCGATCGAAAAGTTATTGAGTCCGCATCCAGCTAATTTCTGCAGCCCTCACTTGAGAGAAGTATGGGTGGTCCTGCACAAAGAAATTAGCAGGGCATAATCAGTTATTTCTCACTAGAATAATGAGGACAGCGCAATAAAAGCATTAAAAAGGAAAAATTATCAAACAAGAACAAGTTCAAGAAGATGAACAGAAATCTTTGTGAAAGGTGGTTTATACATACACATGGAACTTGCGTGTACTGTAAACATAAGAAAAAATTTGGCGCATGTGGATATGCACTAAAAGTGGATAAAAGACCATGAACAAATTTGCATGTGCATGTGAACGAGGAGAAAGGGAGAGTCTAGATTAGCAGATACATACCATAGCTTCTTTGGCAGTTAATCTTTCTTGATGATCATACCGAAGTAGCTTATCAAGAAAATCAATGGCCTACATAGTGAATACACTCAAAGGATCAGCATAAAGAAACAAACTGCTAAGAGCACAGATCGTTAAATATCTGTGAAGAAATTGACCTCGGGAGAAACCAGATGCTGGTTGTCCGAATTTATGAATTTGGACCAGGGCTTCCTGCTATGCCTGTATTAATGCAAAGGGTAATATGGATCAAAGCTGTTCAGTAGCTGTTGGAAGAGTGCTAATACCCTTATATTTGGTTTTCTAAAGGAGTATATATCCTCAATCTGACTTTTTTTGGGTCGGTCAATCTGACTTTGAAACAATGTACATTTGACTGTCGGAGTCCACGAGGTACATAGGGATCCAAATGCAGGCATGATGGCAACTCTAAAGTACACAAGGATACAAACTTGAGCAGGAGCATAATGCTACTTCAGTAGTTTTAAATGTTTTTGCTTCTTTATTCAGTCTATTCTCATACTATTTCAGGGTTATAAGTGGTAATGTGATGGGTCATGTGAATAATTAAATAGGTTGAATGGTTGATATAAGAAGTTACTATTTTAGACCAATAGTTAAGATTGTCTTGTCTGTCCTAGTTTAAATAAGTCTGTTAAGTCTCTTTTGACATTGGTTTCTTCTTCATTCAATAAGAATTGTTTGTTTCTTATAAACCCTAGAATTCAACTCGATTCTACCCATGTTTATGTTCTTTTTGCGAATCTTTTACTCCAACTACATGGATTTGGTATGAAAGCGAAAAAGGGCCTCAACTCGCGATTAGGGTGTTTGTTTCAATGCGACGGTTGGACATGGAAGAGGTCGTGAAAGAAGCAATCAAAAGAGATGCTAAGATGAGACATATGATGGAAGACTTGTTGCAAGCTGTTCAAGCTTTGCAGCAACAGGAATCTTTAGAAACCCATATGGAGAATCCGAAAGGCAATGGTGATCCCATAGACATACCGAAAGATGGTCTCAAGGACGAAAGGTATGATGACGAACATCGCTCTCATGATGCCGGACCAATGAATAATAAGGTAGGAGGTGGATTGGAAGAGCGATTGTGTTGTGCCTTAGATCTTAATGAAGAAATATATCCATTTTGTGAAGATTTTGAAGATGAAACAACAAGAGTTAAGTGGGAAGATGAGGAAGTCATGAATATAGTTGTTTGGGATGACTATAATGATCAAGAAAAAGAATTCGAATATTTTCACTTAAGAGGGTGATGAATTGCAATTCATTGAGTACTCTTGAAGAGTGTCTTCATGAGACATCAACAAGCGTCATAGAAGAAGATGAGCAAACATGTGGAGGAGTTGCTAACCAATTTAAGGAAGAGAGTTTTCTTCATGCCGAAGATATATTTTGTTATTCTAAAACAATTTGTGGGTTCGATTGAAAGGTACCATTGGCAAGCTTTCATGAAGCAAAAAAGCCTCGATTGTTTGGATGATGTGATTCAAATCTTAATGATGATTGGATGGAAGTTGCTATATCTCACTATTCAATACTTCAAAATGCAAGATCAATTTTTCTCAAACCTGAGAAGGAGAGATGACAAGCATAGCAAGTTTGTATTGAAACAGTTGGATAATTCGCGTATAAAAGCTACATGGGTTTTTGGAGAGGAGATGCACAAGATCGATTCAAATTTATCTGCCGGAGAAGTTAAAAGTCTTCATATTTGAGCTTGATCCTTTCCAACCCGGGGAGAATGAGCACAATCCTATTTTAGTAGTTTTGAGTGTTTTTCCTCTTTACCTAGTCTTTTCCCATATTATTTTCGGGCTATAAGTGGTCATGTGATGATCATGTGAATGTTTAATTAGGTTGAAAGGTCGAGATTAGAAGTTGTTATTAGTATAGATAGGTTTTTAAGTCTCTTTTATCATTAGTTTTTTCTTCAATCAATAAACGTTTTCATAACCCTAGAATATCATTTCCCTGTTCAATATTCAATTTAACTTGATTCTAGCCCTGTTTCTTTTTTCTTTTTCTTTTTTTCCTTTTGGTATCTTTTACTTCTCCGACTATGTCAAAACTGCTACAATATCCAATCAATGTTCATACTTGCATATGTGTCCAATTTTCTTGTATTAGCAATAACAATAAAATTAACTGAAATCATCAAGAAGCCTTTCACTTGGATGTAAAGGTCAGTAAGTTGACATCTCCCAGCTTCAAGTTGACAATATACATAAGACAATGGACAATTCTTCATAATAAATACCTCCCAACAAGTGCGTCAAGTTGAGGATCAAGCTCCAAATGATACTTGTTCAGATATGCATTCAACTCATCTGTCCCAAGAACCTGAAATCAATTTACATTAGACTTATATTGCAGCTATAGTTGGTCAGATCAAAAAATTTACCATGAATAAAACCTTGTTATGGAACAAAGCTCTAATTTAACCTTCAGATCCACGAAGATGTTGACTTTAAGTGTGACATAAATTGATGAACTCCGAATTTAGATGTTTAAGCATTTTTGCGTTGTTTTAAAGTTTAAAAGGAGAAGGAACTACTCAAGTTACACCTTAAAGGAGCTTCAACCGCAAAGAACCACTTAGCAAGCAGGAACTCTACAATCAATGGCCTAGAATAATCCCCATACAAGCATCAAATGCCCGATTAAATATTTTCTGATCAATAGTTATTCAATTCCTATAACCAATATGCTAGTTATTAGCACATAACAGACTGTAGAAATGTCCCACGGCATAATGCTAAAAGAAAATTGTTTCCGTATGCATAAGCACAATTACTTTAGAGAAGCCCATAAGATGTCCTTACCCTGGCAATTTTAACGAGCTGATCTTGGTTGTCGTGGCCATAAAAAAATGGGTCCTTCCGAAAAATCTAAGAAGATTTTTCAAAGAAAAAGAAAACATTATATATAATATTCACAAAGGACAAGATGGGTAATTGCAAGTGACTTCACTTTAAGAGCAAAAAGATCATAAAGTAGACAAGCTAGAACTCTGACCATTCCTGCGAACATGCAACCGAGGCTCCACATATCCAAAGAATAGTCATAGTCTTGCAAATCAACAAGAAGTTCCGGTCCCTTATAGTGTCTGAGAAACAAGGAAAAAATTTCCAATCATTACAGTAATTCTGGATCATACTAGAAGATATGTAATGACTGCAATACTTGCACATATAATTAAGAGATACAATACCGATCCAGAAGTTTTAATATTAGCATGTTTGATCCCTTGTTGAGGTGGTAAGCAGCACGGGCTTCTTACTATTTTAATGTCTAAGAAAGATGAATCATCACACAGATAGGGTAATAAGGATGTGAAGTGCCACATTACATCATTATCAGAGACACTTTTTCTAAATAATTTTATATAGGTATCCATCTCCTGGTTCCATCAAGCTTTATATCGAGAAAGCCTAAAGAGTAAACAACTGTTCTTTAAGTTAAACGATCTCGCGTAAGAATACATCTCAACAGTTGATAGCAAGATTGTAAGCGAATTTCACCTTTTTTTTTTTTTGTATTTTCCACTTAAATATTGCTAAATATTTCTCTCTGTCAGTTCAGTCAATAGCAACTCGTCATGTCAAGTTTTCAGCATGATCAAAATGCTGATACCCGTATTCCATTGTTCAGTAAGCAAATACTTATTTATATCTCCAGACAACATACTCAAGAAACTTTTGAATCAGAGACATATGATCTATTAAGAAATAGACAGAACTTCAAAGACAACCAATAAGAGAAGGTAAAACATAGAGCGAAAATTTTTAAGGGGCTCTATATAGATACCTGGAAGCAACCCGCACATTGTATTCTTTGCCAGGATGATAAAATTCAGCTAGACCCCAATCTATCAAGCGGAGTTTGCGCAACTCATGATCTATCATGACATTGTGAGGCTTAACATCCCTATGCATTATTCCTTGTGAATGGCAGAAATCTAATGCCTGCAATTCAAAGCAAATAGCACTGTGCAATGATGCCCTTATCACGTTCATATGTTACTCTACAACTTGTCTGAAATAACATGTATATTATCACTACTAACACAATGTAGTAACAGTCAGATTCTGTAGAATCAGCATTGTTCACCAATTATAAAGTGGAAAACACTCCGCATGGAACAAAATATTAATCACCCATATTGTTGACTATACAGAGTAATCAGTTCCTAATAAAATTTTCTAGTTATACTAGCTCAAGAGGGTGAAATATTTTTAACCAAAGTCTAGTACCCGATTTTTCAAGAAAAAATCCATGTTAAGGGTTTCACAGGTTCAGAGGAAATTTTAACAAAAGGTACCAACAGGCACAGAAGTCAATTAAGCACATTGCAGAACCATTCTGAAAACAGGTGCAAAAAAAAATCAGCTATATTATACATCAATTTAAAGTCTTTAAAGAAGAAAGAAGATTTCAGTCTTGTATAAAAACTGAGAAGAGCACCCTTCGTTTTTTTAGCCAAGCCTGAGAAGAGTACTTAAACAATACTTTACATTTTCCCCTGATCAACACAATAGCCATCCTTGTAAAATTTGATGGTATATAATATACCAAAAATAAAAAGCTTTTCTATAAAGCCAAAAACCACAAAAAAACCAATATCCATAGGTGCCCAAATTGCTGCGATTTCGGTGGTATACATAAACTCATGCAGACCCGGCAGATGCCTTATGTGTATCTCTTCCGTAATTCAGCAAGACAGCTATTTAATGATGGTATTGATGCCTATAAGACATACAGAGCACCTGGTAGCAGATAGGTAGTCTATTTGTATCAATTCCACAACAATAATCACATCCACATCCATTTTTTGTTGTCGTGGAGCCTCAACATATTCACTTCTCACGGTTCACTTGGGGTAGTTCTTTTCATACAGCACAATCAACAAAAACGAACTCTGCAAATTAAGTGTACATACATTCACAATGAACAAATGAAACCCAAGCTTGACTTGTTTTAAGAATAGGAGGGATAAAGGGATATACCTTGAGGAGCTCATATATGTAGTAGCATATGTCGTAATCAGTCAATGTGGGGTACAACACTTTGAAATCTGTACTGTTGACATACTCAAATATCAAACTAGGAGTCTTTGAATGCTGATCCCTGACAACATCAAACAGTTTCACGACGTTTGGACCCCCACATAGGTTCTGGAGTATTTTTATCTCTCTTTTTATCTGCTCAAAGGCAATAGTGAGATCACAATTACTCCTAGAACTTACGAAAATCTTCTCAACAATCATCGAGAGACCATGCAAGAGATCAATTAACATGTATGAAACCTAACCAGCTCAACCATAAACGACAGAATCCAAAAAAAATAAAATAAAAACTGCACTCATCTTTTGGTTCCAAAGAATGAAGATACAGACTACATATACTCAAGTAGAAGGATCACCAGAAAATCACCTTCTTCTTCTTGACAGGTTTGAGTATCTTGATTACACATTTCTCATTGGTATTGACATTTATTCCTTCAAAGACCTCACTATATTTTCCCCTTCCGACTTTCCGAACTACTTCATAGTCATCCTGGTTACTGAATAGCAAAAAAAAAAATAAACGAAGAATAAGTTGAATATGCATAGGACAAAAGACACAAAGCATATGAAGTGAAGACACAAATACACAAGCTTATCAAACACAACTACCAGCCCTAAGATCTCATTAGAGAAAAAGAAAGAAATCTCGAGCTTTACTTCCATCATTGCCAGGTTAAGATAAATGGCCAGAAAAGGTGGTCAAATCAACTTAACACTTACTTGGAAATGATACTTTTCTAAATCTAACGAAGCAAAATGTTTGATTATCATCTACTTGGAGGAAAACAATTGCATGTTCCGACTATTAAGTTGGAAGAAGGTCATATTCCATTCCCTCAGCTGAGTTATAACCATCTAGATACACATTATACAAATGGCAACTGACAAGTCCAAAAACCTTGATTTTAATGATTTTTGTGCCAGTGATAATAACATAGAAAATCTCAAAATAATGTCAACTACAGCAAGTGTTGACCTGCAATTAATAAAGAATCGAACATGAAATCCCAAGATCACTATGGCATAGAACAGGTTCAAGGATCAAACAGATAGTAATTGAATATTTCATGTTACAAAAAGGCATTGTAATGTGATAACAATAAAAAACAATGTCAATTTCTCTTAACAGGGAAGTCCAGAACTTTGGAAAGAAGAAAACTTGATGCCAAAATTTCGATCTTTGAAAACACCTAACAACTGTTTCTAACACTACAATCTCTCTCTAGACAATTTCGTAATTCCGCATCATCACACCAGATTATCAAGTCGAACAACACCCTAACAAGATTTTACAACGTGAAATGCCAGTCTCAGTTAAGACAAACAGCAACATCTTAATTTCAGCATATCACAAAGATCACAAACAAATCATTCGGGATCCGAAACAAGACATCACTAGCAGCATTCTTGTGTCCTCACAAGAGAATTTCACAGACCCTATCCACAAGAACGCCTATCCATCGGCAAACACTGAATTAAGCTCAAACAATAAACCACGCGATAATTCAATCGATCTACTATCACCGCGATTTACCCCCATTGCACCGTGAGCGCCTCGTAATCCCAATACTCCTTGGGCCGGATCACGTTGACGTCCGCGTAAACCCGGGCCTTGGACATGCTTCCGACGTCGCCCGGGCGCGAGATCTCGCGATCGCGGCGGCCGACGCCGCCGTCGCGGCGGGAGGAGGCGGAGGCGGAGGCGAAACTGCCGCGGAGGGGGCGCGCGGCACCGGGGAGGTGCGCGACCGGCGCGCGCGAGGCGACGAGGGCGCACGCGAGCAGGAGACGGAGGCGGACGAGGGGCGGCGACGCGCGGCGGCGCGGTGCTCTCATGAGCCGCTGGACCACCGCCGGGAGGAGCCCATTTGACTTCGCGACCTCTCGCTCTTTTCCCTCCGCTTCGCGACGAGAGGCAGCACAAGATGGACCGGCCGACTCCCGTGGAGACTACTAGGATTCCATTTACCATAAAAAAATTGCAAAATTCAAAAATTACCTCTTTCGATTTTATATCAATTTTGTCCAAAATGAAAATTTTCTAGGTAAAAAAAAAAATCAGATCTCTCTCGACCTAAAAAAAAAAGAATAGATAAAAATCTTGCGGATTTTCCTTTTGTCTGACCGAATATTGTATTTTCTAATATGCCCACGACGCGAAAACGGGCATTTATTCTGTTTTCGCGATGGAAATGATTATTCGATTCTTTTTTCGCTTTTTCGTCGTAATTCGATAAAAAATGTATTCTTTGATTCTTCGGTAGCCCAAAAGAAAAAGAAAAAGGAGAGGGAGGAAGAGAAAGAGATAGAAATGAAAAATACGAAAAGATTCGGGTGAGGGTGACGATGATTTTATTTACCTATTTCACCCTAGAAAGCCAATTTTTGGAATTGGCGTCCATCCCCGAAATGTCCATTCCCATTCCTATAAAGCCAAAAGTTTTTTTGCCAATTCTATTTCCTTAACGGAGGGAATGATTTCTTCTCGAATTTTGCAAACATTTTGTGACGTTCCATATTCATCGTTGTCGCTAAATAATCACCAAGGTTTTCACATGCGCATAGCGTGTGCAAAAACACTAATCGTTATGTAATAGCTTTTCCTTAGAAATGCCAATACCTTTACCGCAATAACTAGAAAAAAGTGCACTGCGGGTATGCCAAAAAATTACGATGGAAAGAATTGCAATATAAATTTATTAAGGAATTTTTAGATCGTTAGTCAAGAAGAAAGATATCATGAACTTTTTTGACAAGGTTATTTATAAGATATGAAAGATTCAAAATTTTAAATTATGATACATGAAAGAAAATATAAAAGTTATTAATTTACGCATTCATCCATTCGTCAATTAACTATAATTATAAGTAGTTAATTGAGGATATTTTGACAAGAAAAAAAATTGCATTTCTCTAAAAGTAGGCTGTCCTCTTTGCTTTATCTAATAGTGTAGATAATAATTTCTCTTACCACTATTTAAAACTTGAATGTTGGGGTGATGATGGTGAAAAAAAGTTATCATTGTTACGAGTATATAATCAATTTATGTGAATTCAAAGTATGGAAAAATAGAAAAGTGATCATAAAACAAAAAGGGAAATTATCAAATAAGGACTCAAAGTGGGTGCCTTTTTTCAAAAGAGGACCTCAAGTGGACAAGGTATCAATTAAGGACCCAAAGTGCCAAACTAGTATCAAATAAGGACCTGAGCTCGCCGGCCGGCCAAATGTTCTCCGGCCGGCGACCGGCCGACATTTCCGGCACCGGAATAGGGCCAGAGCTGAGGCCGGCGAGAGCTCGAGCTTGCCGGCCATTTGGGGGAGCTCGGCCGGCGAGCTCTGCCCAGATCTGGGCGAGCTCGCCGGCCATGGCGAGCTCCGCCCAGATCTGGACGAGCTCGAGGAGGCCGGCCTCGCCCGGATCGCGTAGTCGAGGGCCTTGGCGGGGCCGTCGCAGGAGGCGATGGTGTCGCGCGCGAGCTTGAGGAGGAAGGGCCCGAGATTCGGGTTGTCGAGGGCCGTATCGGGCGGGGCGGGGCTGGCGGCGGAGCCCGGGGACTCTGGCGGGGGCTTCCGTAGGGAGAACTTGGAGCGGGAAGGGGAGGGGGAGGGTGCCATGGCCGGCGAGCTCGAGCTCGCTGAGACCGGCGGGAGCTCGAGCTCGCCGGCCATCTGGGCGAGCTCGGCCGGCGAGCTCTGCCCAGATCTGGGCGAGCTCCGCCCTCGCCGGCCCGCACAGCCATGGCGAGGGCCGGCATGAGCTCGAGCTCGCCCAGATCTGGGCGAAGCTCGCCATGGTCGGCGAGCTCGAGCTCGCCCAGATCTGGGCAGAGCTCGGCGGCGCCCAGATGGCTGGCGAGCTTGAGCTCGCCCAGATCTGGGCAGAGCTCGCCGGCTGAGCTCACCCAGATGGCTGGCGAGCTCGCCCTCGCCCTCCACCGACGAGGGTCGCCCTCGCCCGCCCAGCCCAGTCGAGGGCGACCCTCGCCGACGTCGGGCGAGGGCAGCCTCCGCCTGAGGCCGGCGACCTCCACCGGCCCCGGCTATGGCCGGCGGAGGGAAGAGAAAAAAAAAGAAAAAGAAAAAAAAACAGAGATGAAATGTACTGTTCCGGCAACCGGAACAGTAACTGTGCTCGCCGGCCGGTGAGATTTGACCGGCCGGCGAACTCAGGCCCTTACCTGAGACAAATTGAGTACTTCGGGCCCCTATTTGAGACTGATTGGGCACTTCAGGTCCTTATTTGACACCATGTTCACTTTGGGTCCTCTTTTGAGAAAAGGACCCCACTTGGGGTCCTTAATTGGAATTTTCCCAAACAAAAATGGTATATGTGAAATGCCTGAATTTTTTAAAAGTGCTACGACATCACATTGGGCTTTCGGTAGCCTAATAATGTATCCTAGATGGATGGGACTCGTAATTTCTTCTGACCTAATTTGGACATTAGCTCCAACCTCTTTTGGTATGTTTGATTCATATGAATAATTATTCTACACTCAATCTATTTACGATGGAACAATTAAAGTATAATTTATAATAAACTAATAAATTACAAGGACTCTGAATATGTCAACAATATATGAAGTTGTAATTTGTCGCGACCTACCCTCGGGATGCACCCCCTAAGGGTTCGGTTAATGGATTATTAAGTCTATGCCTAACTCGGGCTCTGCCAAGTCCTTACCAATTTGCGACTTAAGGTTTAAGTTCTTAACATGCAAATCATTTCAATCAGGAGTCGCCACTAATCTATTTTTTGGCGGGTCGATTAGAAACCCAAGTAAAGTATCGGGAGAATTACTTTACTTCTACGAACCAGAAATTATGGATTCGGGGACTTGGTTACACTAGAATACTCTAATGCCATTTTAGTACCTTTTCTCTTTTATTTCAAAAAAAATATTTGCAGGCAGGTTAGATTGATTTTAAACCCATCTACTAACATGCAAGGTGATCAGGCGGGCGCGCAACCAATAATATAACACTCAATAATGCAAAGCAATAAATAAATTGCAAGATAGGGACTTATCTCAAAGCAACCAAAGCATCTGCAATGTTAGTTAGAAAATCACATTAACAACCCTAATATGATTTCTAATTAACATGCAATTCACACGATATTTTTTGGAGTTTTCGCTTATTTAATGAAAACTAAACTTTATGCAATGCATTCTACGTCTAGTATGACATGCGACATATGATTTATTTAAATGTCCAAGTTCTAACAACAATTAAATGCACTATCTCTAATATGGCATGCAAATGAACCTACACGTACGATTTCTAATGACACGCGAGCAATAATACATGGCAAGGTATGAATGACGTGGCAAGATGACATGCAAGCATGATGCAATTAATTTATATGACATGCATATGATATTTTTGTATTTTTCATGAAATTCGAAATTAATTAAATACTTTAATTTAAACCTACAATCTATCCTAGAAATGAAAATCTAAGTCATTCTAAAAATATATTTTTGGTATTTTATTAAATTCGAAATGAGAAAATTACTCTAAATATGCAATATTATATAAAAAATAGATTTCGAATTATTGACTAATCGTTTTTTGATTTTTTTTATGGAAACACAATCAATTCAAGTCAAACAACAATAAAAAAATGGAAATAAATAGCAATCGAATTAACACGACACCAAATCAATAGAAATATTATCCATATCCATTTAAATTTAGAAACAATAGATTGACAAATCATATCTCGGGCATGAGGATCGGATTCGTCAATCTTTCGTACAATCGCGAATTATATCTCGAGCGGGAGATCGGATTAACGATTTTCCGTGCGATCGCGAGTCATATTTCGGGCATGAAATTAGACTGTCGATCATATGCACGTTGTGAAATTAGAAAATAATTCCTAATTTAAAGGCTATTCAGAAACTTAATGGATACGATAATATCATTTAAAGATTCATACAAGATTGCAATATTTCAAACAAGGAAACAATATACTCGAAAATCCAATTATATGAGATATTTACCTAATTCGAATATTTGCTTTCCAAGTTTGAATGTCTTGGGATCTGCGGACCGCGACTCGGCCAGGCAGCGGGCAGCGTCTCGGTGCAAGCGGGTGTCGCGGTGTAGGAAGCCTCGCGACGTGGTCTCGGTGAACGGACAGCGATTGCGGCGGCTCGCCAAAGGAGATCGCAGTGAATTAGTTCTTGGTCTTTTAGTTTGATCAAATAATCCCCACCAACAGTCGGGACTTTTTGTTTCTTTCTCAAGAATTCACAAGCAATTCACCATGCAATAGAAGACAAGTTCCACCACTAGACCGACAGCAGCTGATCGCAACGGCTCGGTGGATGGTCGTCGAGGCGAAGATGCTCGTTGAAATTGCTTGAAGATTCGATAGAACATGTTGGATAGCCACCGGACCCTTGGTTCGCTAGTCTGGTGTTAAGATTGGAGGAGTGAGCTGGAGCGATTGTCCATCCAGCGCAACAATGGCTGGACGTCGTCAGATCAGCATAATGAAGGAGTTCGTTGAGACAGCAGGCTCAGCAGACTGGGGCAGTAGCGAGTCTCGGAGGCTTCGGCACAGGTCTGGCCGTGAGGGAGGGGAGTTCGGCCACAAAGGACTCAGCTGAACCCTCTCTCTCTTCTCTCAATTCCTCTCTGTGTTTTTCTCGTATGTCAAACTCTCCAAAAGAAAAGCGTCCCCCGGAAATTATCTTTGTCAACCCTTGTATATGCAAAGGCACAGAACCCACCAAGGAAAGAAGATAAAATATCTTTCCTCTTTTTCTTCGTTGACAGAATTCTTCTTCGTGAGGGGGCAAATATATCTTTTTATGCGTCTAATCTTTCTCTTTCTCTTTTATCTTCCTTCCCCTCGTATATTGCA